ATTTACTTACCACAATGCGCAGGTTTCGCTTCCCCTATCCGCTAGTAGTCCGACAGACAAAAATTGAACACTGTACCTTTGACAAACGCCCTTACCCCTTGTCTGATTTCATATTTCATTCGTCACTACTGGTACCAACAGTCTATCTCCGAAACTTGATCTGGCGACTGTGCGCTTGGTCACGCACAGGGCCATCTGGTGGATAAGTTGCCTTGAGCACTATAGAAACTTTTGTAGACATAGTCTTGTACTTGAGTCATGTTTAGTACTTACACATTCGATAGTCTGTGCATGTGTCATTCATAGTACTCATATGTTCTTGCCTCGTCCGTCAGATTGGGGTCCACTTTGACGTCCTTGACGGCGTAGAAATAGGAATATCCAGAATCAAACTCTAGGCCGAATCCGTCTAATGTGTACTCCGTTTCGCCAATTGTGTACATCAAAACCTTGTTGAATCCATTATCGTGCACAATAGCTGTTCCAGATACGTCAGCGTTTCGCTCATCATTCTCCGCGACCCCACCACCTTTGACAACTGAGATGATTAAGTCTTGGTTGAAAACGGATGTGGGTTCGAGTAGAAACTCGAATGTAATACCGAGAAGGTCGACATGCATGTGTACCTTGCCCTCCTTCATGAAAGCATGTGTTTTTGCAACTTGGGGAACAATTCCATCCTTCAAATACATCTCGCCGTATTGTTTGACGAGCGTATCTACATTACTTGGGAACGCAGCAGCAACAGTGGCAAGGAATACCAGGCACAGAGCGTATATTAATTCCGAACCAAACATTATGTCAGTTTATGAAAAACAAGATATTAGTAACAATATTTGTGAAGAACTCAATCCATCATTGAGGTGTTTATATAGGTCACCGCTAAGACCTCTTTATGCACTTTATTTGCTTTGGGATGCGTGAACCCCTCCCCCCCCCTCCTCCCCATTTCGGCATTCCCCTCTTAATTCCCCTTCGTTACAACAAACGCTTCAGATCTTACTCGCCTACATATGGGTGAAGTGTCTTGTCAAATAAACCCCCGAACAGATCATGGGCTCATGACAGATGGCGAAACCCCACTGTGGAATGTAAATTTAATTATTTCGAATGAATTCTAGAAATATTAATAAAAATATTTACAAGACAAGTTTAACATTTCGTCCTACGGACGTTTGTCTGTTGTGGCAAATTTTTCTTTCTCTCTCTCTAGAGGGTCATGACATTTCAACACTTGTAGTCTTGTGCTATTTATAAGCGCCTAATCCTCGTGGATTCCCGAATCTCGGATTCTGGATTCTCCAGCTCCTCTTCGAAAATTACTCATCGACATTCTAAGAGTGATCTTGATCACCGATATATTTTCTTATTGGTAAACTGTTGTATGAGCAAAATATGAAGAATTTGTAATATACTAAGTATAAAGACAAAGTACAGTATGCAGAGTCGTAGAGTGAAGTAGACTATATATTTAGTAGTATGAAGTAGATAACTTAATATGTATCACTGTAAGCCGTAAGCCGTAAGCTGTAAGGCGGTGTATCAGTAGATATGTAAATATTTATATTTTATAAATAGCTGGTAGTCTGGTACATTATACATTTGTACATAATTTCTTTTCGAATTTCTTTTTAAAAAACCAGAAAAGTGAAAACGAATGTCTTTATATGGCACTGGTGACAAAACAATTATTAACCACCTCAGTTCCAGATACCTACCTGTCTCATACTAGGAAACTTTTTCGAGTTTAATTTGCTTAAATATAGGTGTATTAATGTAATTAGCGTGATTTTAAGCACTTGTGAGATGTGTTTTCTGCCGGTTTGTTTGTTATCTGTCGGCTAAAAGCGCTCGACTTAAATGTTCGATATTGTAGCGTGGATACAACCCATTTGTTGCACTTGTGTTAGGTCCTTGTCGGTCTTAAGGGCTTGACATATGCTAGCAGTTAGATACATGTTTATAGGCGTCCGCTGTCTTAGCTATTGCTTCGGATTCGCCCATGGTTCTACAGTTGACACTATTCGTGTCTAACATACGTCGACCTCTCCTCTGAGGCCGATAAAGAACAAATACAACAAGTGCAATAAATGGGCTAAAATCACGCTAGTTACATCTTAAATCGAAAAGTAGAAGTATGAGACTGGTAGGAAACTGAGCCTGAGGTGGTTAATAATTTTATTGTCACCAGTGCCGTATAAAGACATTCTCCACAGTTATTTTTAATTGATTGTTTTGTAGAAAAAAATATTTATAATATATTGTAAGGTGTAAACACTAAACAGCTGCAGCTGCAGCTGCTGCTGCAGCTACTGTGATGTAAACGTATTTAGTCACGTAGTCCCGTACATAGTCTTGTATTTACAGTTTTTAATTTTTTTTATGGACAGGCTTGACCGTTGAGTCAAGTTGACGTTTTAGTAATTTTTTTCTTCAAATTTGTCACAAAGAGTTGAGACTTTCGAGTTGAGACCTTGTCCTTGGGCTTGAGAGTTGAGACTTGAAAGACTGGTGAGTCGTGGTGGAATTGTGGATTTCCAACTCGTTTCTGTGAAACTCAATAAAAGATGAAGAATTCGGCACCTAGGAGGAATGGACTTGATTTGTCTCTTCACAGCCTTAAACGCTCGACATGGAATTTATATCCCCACGTAGAACAGTATAGCTCTATAACATATCCAATATGTAACTATTGATCATAAATCCCTCACCGATTGTGGCCCACCCTCTATTGCAATAAATGTTAACAAACAAAAAATGAGTGTGTGCATTAAATATAATTAAACCGCGAAGGGTTTGAAAAAAATGCATATCGTGTAGTGTACATGTCCAAGAAAATCGCATATGTCTCTGGCGGCTGGCGCTCCCTCACGGCCTCTCAGAGGTCGTGTGGATCATTCACAATGTAAAAGATGTGTGAATTCAGAAAAGAATGACAGAACTAAATCTACCATGGACTTCAAATGATCATTATGGTCCACCATGATTGCGTTTTCGCAACTCAACTGCTTGTCTTTTTTGGCGACTATATAATATCAGCATCGGCCGCATATCACTCACTCACTTAGCCAGAAACATTGCGCAACCCCACGCGATATATCCACCCACAAGTGTACATAGATGCTCAATAACTTAGATACTAGTCAATATATATATATGTCTAGCTGTCGGTAAGTGAAGGGTCCCCGGTTACCACCGCTCAGTCTGGGGTGGTATGCATATTCATATGTATTCCTAGCATTATAGATGTATGAAATATTACATATATCCTGTCGATAGGTGTTGCATTGCGCCGCAAGATTCAGTGCTGATACATGTGTTTATAAAATGTTCCTCCCGTAGCACTGCAGCATTTACAATAGCATTGACGCGCTCATTCATATACTACAAATAACTACTAATATATCCAGCAATGCCTTCTAACTCTCATCGCTGTCCTGTGTCTCTGTAGTCCTGGAGTTGTATAACTCTCAAACCACGTAATGAGATATTTTAACTAGTCTAGATTTTTGATACTTTTTTGCGGCTTGTTTTGGGCAGAAAGTCAGTGCCTAACGCTTAGATCGGGACATTGGATGAATTTCCGAGCGGCAAGCCGCTCCCGAATTGAGCTACGGGCAACCACCAACAACGTGCAACCACCAACAACAGGCAACCACCAACAACGTGCAACCACCAACAACAGGCAACCACCAACAACGTGCAACCACCAACAACAGGCAACCACCAACAGCAGCCAAAGGTCGCCCCGCTTGATCAAGTCGCGTTCAAGTGGACTTAAATTGGAATTCCGGGACAAGTCAGTTGAACCACGTCAAATAAATTTCTAAACGTATGCATATGTGCGTATACATATATACGAGTGTGCATATATATAATATAAATACATACATATAGGATAACAATATTATGG